CCCATCAATTTCACCATGTTCCTTACGATGTTTGGGGAGAAGCTGAACGGCACAGATCCGGAAGATGTCATCAGAAATGCTTTTGCCTGCTTCGACGAAGAAGCAACTGGTAAATGAGAGATAATCTTTAATTACAAAGTTATTTTAATTTTCAGCAATGGTGACTAAAATACACAGTAACTTGAAATAAGGTAACACCCTCAGGTCTCTAGCTCACTTATTTTGGACAGTGTTCTTTGGACCAGATTGTACATCACTCACTCGAGGCCCCTCAATTCCGTAGCAGTATCAGCCAGTGGGTTGTACTTGAAACCTCTGTACGGTTCCATCACTCCTTCATTAGATCTGCAGCTCTGCTGAGGCTAGGTTCTCAGTAAATGGGTTGAGCGAGTAACTGTCACCAAAGGAATCTTTTGAAATGTGTAATTGCTTTTGTCTGTGACCAAAGCAGCCCTTTGTAATGTGTCTCAGCTCTAATGTCACTTAAATCTGGTTTCCAAAATGGGAAAGGAAAATAGGAAAAGCAGAGCTCATGCTCTGAAATCAGGCCACCTGATTTCAAATGACTATTCCACGTAATGGTTGTGTAATTCAGGGCAAATTCACATTTCTAAGACTGCTTCCTTCTTTGTAGAGTTAACTCTTTAATAAAAAACATTTTTTTAACCTATGTAAATACCTGCTTCTTTGGCCAGAATGGATAGAGGGAAGCTATAAGTAAGTGTTTTTCTTAAGCTTCCAACACAAATGGAATGGCCTGCATTTTGGGAACAGGTTTGTTGCAGTCTTTGGAGGACTGCTGAGTGGGGTTGTCAGGTTAACAAGTGCCGCCTCACTTCTGAATTGCTCAGATCTTACTGTGAGCAGCTGTTGCTCACAGGGAAGTAGACAACCTTGACTGAATAAAACCCTTTCTTCAAATTCATCTCCATGTTGGACTGTGTTCTTCATGGAGCCGTGCCTGGGTTTTCACACTATTTCTCCTGCCTCGGGAAAAGCCTTCCCTTCTTCTGCCTCAGTTTAATTGGTATCTGACCCTGGCACCTATGCCTATTTGACCGTGTATGTATGTTGCTTGTGTACTTATTTTCAATCACCACCATCCACCTCTTCCCCATAGTAACTAATCTTCACCTGCCACATTCCCCTCCACTTAGTACATGGTTAACCTATGGTGGTTAAATGGCTTGACTGGACACGGGGATTTATTTCAGTAAATTGCAAATACAGAATTTGGATGGGACATTTTAGAATTGGGGTTAAATTTAAAAAACTCAAAAATTTATCATTTCTTTTGTGAACTGATTTTCGGCTTTAAATTCGTGTTATAGAAATGTTATTAATGGTCTATTACTTTTAATGTGATTAGTCATAATTGTGCAGTACTGTAGTCATTATTTTTTCACTTTTTGAATTTCAAGTCGCTGCATGTGATTGACCCCCTTAGGTGGATAATACTTCAGCGGCTCTGTCAGCACTCGCTACACAGTAAAATTGCTTGATGAGGCCCTGGTTTTGTCTCTACTGTCAAAAGATCAGAAGAAGGTGGGCACGGAGGGAGGCAGGCACTTAGTCTAGGCGACAACTGCTAAGGCTGGCTTCAGCCTGTGGTAGCCTTGCATTTCATACCTGGTCATGCTTCCGGTCTTAATGTGTTGCTGAGTACTAATGGACTTGATAGTGAGCTTGAGTTTGGAGTTCCTAGCATATAGGGATATATAGGCGAGTGTAGGCGTTCATTGTCCTTAATCCTCGGAGTAGTATGTGTTTTGATCCCAGTTCTTCATTCTTAGGCACCATTCAGGAAGATTACCTGAGAGAGCTGCTGACGACCATGGGAGATCGCTTCATGGATGAGGAAGTGGATGAGCTGTACAGAGAAGCCCCCATTGATAAAAAGGGGAACTTCAATTACATCGAGTTCACGCGCATCCTTAAACACGGAGCGAAAGACAAGGATGACTGAACGAACTTCAGATTCCAGCCAAAAGCCTTCCTTGTTGCCATTTTGGGTATTTCCGAGACTTTCTTGTAGAGCTTATTGCATGCCCTGAGCTTGACCGCTTCTGCCTTCTTGTATTTATTCTCGGCCATTTGGGGCACATGCATTTCTGTAATCAGACTGGAAATGGGACTTTGTAAAAGTAGAACTGGGAAAAAGATCAATGCCTTATCAAAGCCTAAGGAAAATATTCTCAGATTTTTTCTAATTAACTGGATTTTTACATTTTTTTTGGAAATAAAAACTTTGAAAATAAACATTGTGTTGGAAGCACCTAATGTTAATTAATTTTGTCATTTTCAGGGAGGAAAATGGGTAACTTTACTTCCCAGCTCCTCCCACATCCCATTAACTATATAGAGTTGATAAGATATTTTTCTTAGTTAATCCTTTTCTCTTGAACCACAATTAAACTTTATGATGAAATGCTTCTTGTTTAAAACTTATTTACCGAAAGTGGCCTTTCCTCCACCAATTTCTTCTTCCAAAGATGGTGAGGCAAATCTCTGGAAGTGCTGTGGTTGTTGCCTGCCTCTTGCTTATTCCTGAGTTCTAGCAATCCTGTCCCCTATACTCCTAATCACCACTCCCTACTCCTGGGGGTAGGGGTGTTAATCAGGTTTCCTGTGCCTTGCTTCCAGTTTTTAAAAGACAATTTCTTGTAGAACTTGCCTGCTTTTGGATAGCTTGAAATCTTTAACTTTGATATGCCTACTAACATTTCCCCTTTTTAAAAACTTTAGTACATTTTTTCCTATCACTTCTAAAATTAGCCAGACCACAGAAGGTAATTTCAATTCATTTTAATGTTAAAAACGGTTTTAAACCCAAGTAGAATGCTTCTCCCTGGAGACTTTTTGTTTTATATTTGTATTCAGAATGTTGGAAATACTCTGTTTTGTTTTTGAATGTTATGTACGCTAGTTTGTCTTTCACACAGCAGCCCCTCCTAAAATACTGTGACTGCTTATTTGGAGTGGCCGTGAGTCCATGTATGAACGTGGGACATTCCTGACCTGCCCACAATCAAAATAACTAAGGCTGCATGCCTGGGAAAGTGAGGTTATTTCAATCCTAAAAATAACTTCCGTTATTTACAGAAATGCCAGGGCTATTTCCGAGTTCGTCAGGGAGTGGCAGACTCTTCATTATCTTTGGGCTTCGAGAATGTGACTCTGAAAAACCATTTAATGGATTTAAGAAAGATCTTGAAATACCAAAACAGGTTGATGGAAAAAACTGACAACCCAATATGAATAATTGACGATCTAAGAACTAAAGATTATCTGTTGATATTAGCAAGACTATCCTTGGACAAAACTATGACCTCATTCAACAGTTTAACCACGTACCCTCTGGGCAGGGCGCCTTTGCCTCAAGTTAGGTAAGCTAAATCTTTTAATCTGGTGAGGCCACCTTCATAGGAGTAGAAGGATCAATAACAATATTGCTTTTCTTCCCCTTCAAGATTAGAATCTTCTAACTTGCCTTCACTGTTTGCATTTTATTAACTCAATTTCATTATGTGGTTTAAACAGTACAGTTTTTAGCCTTGAGCCATGATGCTAAGATTTTGTTCGAATTTGAATTGAATTTCCATTTCAACTGAAAAATTAGTCACCTCTGCTTTGACAAATTTCCAGTGAGTTACATTATTTCTACTACCAAAAAGAAAAAACAAATGCCCTCATGTACTGACATTTTCCATAGTGTCACCTCCATTCTCATATTTTTAAGTAACCACTTAAGGACCTAGCCTCCTAGGAACAATAAGCTCATACGAATACTCCCCAGAATGAAATGAGCCGCCTCCTCCAGTAATTGCCTCTACTTACCCCCTGACTGAATAACAAGCTAATAGCGTTTACCTGAAAAGCCAGTCACTAATAAAGATCATTCTGGAAACAAACATTTTCCAGTTATGAAATAACCAAATGGGGGCAGGACTCCTATTTAATGGTATTGTCACTTGGGCCCCTTGGTGGTGCTGTGGCTTAAGTGTTAAACTGCAAGCAAATCCAGTCCACTCAAGGGAGGAAGATGAAGGTGGCTATTATAGAGATACATCGTCTCAAGCTTGTTGGGCTGGATCAGGCCGGTTCCTAGCAGCAAGTGACCTTGAATCTCCCTCACTGTGGGGAGCTGACCAGAGCTGGCTGAAACAACTAGCAGCGAGTGACCTTGAATCTCCCACTCACACCTGCGGAGCTGACCAGAGCTGGCTAATGTAAAGCAGCTTTGCAAGTTTTTTTTTTCTTTTACTCACGCCCGTTTTGTTCACAGCCCTGTTGGCCCGCCGTTCTGCACCCGGCACGAGTACACCTGGAACCAGGAAGACAGCTCATGTAGGGTCATTATGGGTTTTAACAGAAGGAAACACTGCCTGGTCCTGTGCCATCCTCAAAGTGCTTATGTTTCTGAGCCCAGGCAAGTAGAACCTAGGCTTTGAAAGGAAAGAATGTTTATTCTACAAAATGAGAAAAAAGCAAGAGGGCTAATACCTAGACATCAGCAGACATAGAAGAGGACCAGGTAAGATGATACAGGGGGCTGGAAAGGTAAACAAGCCACATGCATTGTTCCATCAAGGAAATCTGTATAAAACCACACAAAGATCACGCATAAGTAGGGCACGTTTTAAGTGAAGCCTCAGGATTTGGCAAATCCTTGGTCACCTCTGCTAGAATGCGTTTTCATTGCAGAAGCCCAGGTGCAGGAGGAAATTGTAGCCCAAGCCATGTCACTCGGTGCAGTGCGCCCAAGGTACTTACTGCGGCCCCTGGAATGTTTAGGGACTCACTATATGGGTTAGAGACACGCCGGTTGGGCAGAGAGGTCACTTGAAGGGCCAGCTCACTCCCCAAAGGCTAGCTCTATCTGATTAGACAACAGAGATGGCATGAGACTTGCTGAAGACACCTGTGGTTATCCTGAAACCCAAGTGAATGCGAAATATCTGTGCTTGTTCCCCCAGGGGTGAATTCTGAAGTAAAAAGTGTTAGCAGCCAAACTCAACTGCCATCCAGTTGATTCTGACCAGATAGAACAGGGTTTCCCAGACATGGGAGTGAAAAGCCTCATCTTTCTCTCCCAAAGCCTTACCTTTATGTAGTCTGATTTCAAAATGGATGCCATCAAGACAGCCCATTTTTGCTATTGGCCTCTGCTGGGTCATTTTCTAAAAACTAAACTTTTGTTCCCTCTAAAGTGGAGATCGGGACCCCTGGTTTACGTATTGAGCTGCTAACTGCTAAATTAGCAGTTCAAATTCAGATGAGACTTGCTATTCCTGGAAAGAGTTACAGTCTGGGAAACCCACAGGTACAGTTCTACCTTGCCCTAGAGCATCAGTTCTCAACCAGTGGATCGAGACCCCTTTGGGGGTCAAACGACCCTTTCACAGGGGTCACCTCAGAAAACAAATAATTGCTTTGTGATTAATCACTGTCCTTTAATTATGTTCAATTTGTAACAAAATATATCCTGCCTATCAGATATTTACATGACGATTCATAACAGAAGCAAAATTAGTTATGAAGTAGCATAGAAAATCATTTTATGGCTGGAAGTCACCACCACATGAGGAACTGTATGAAAGGGTCTTGGCATGAGGAAGGTTGAGAACCACTGCCCTAGAGGGTCCCCATGAGCCAGAGTTGACTCAATGACAGTGGGTTTAGTTTTTAGTTTTCTGCTGTTAGGGCATGAAGCCTTAGTAGTGGTAAGAGGATAGTGGACATTGCCTGAGGTTAAGGGTCAGCAAGCCCTGCATTTAAATAACACCCCCCCCCCTTTTTTTCCTGCTTCATGGCTTTTGTAGCATTTAACCTCTTATTGTAAAATGGAAATGCTGGTTCCGTAATAGTTCATAATAGGAATATAATCTATTAATATATGAAGGAGCAGCGTGGGTTTTAGAGGCAGCCTTGGTTGATCATGACTACCATTATTTGAGAAGCTTTAGGATCTTGAGCTTTAGTGGTGCAGTGGGGTCAATGTTGGGCAGCTTACTCCCCAAGGCAGGGAACTGGAAACCACCAGTAACTGCGAAGCAGTCCCCTTCTGTAAAGATGTTCTCCACTCAGTGCTGACTCAGCAATCCCTTGTGGGTTTCGGAGACTTGACAGGGTAGAAAGCCCAGCCTTTATCCTGCGGAGCAGCTGGTGGTTTTGAACTGCCGACTAGGCAGATTGCAACCCAACGTGTGAGTACTACACAGCTGCAGAAACCCTAGTGGGCAGTTCTGCTCTGCTCTACAGGCTTGGTATGAATTGGCATTGGTTCTCTGGCAGAGGGGCTTTGGTTTCAGTTTTAGATCCTGAGGCAAGTTGTGCTCCTCACTTTTCTCACCTGTAAAATAGGGTCAATGCCCTCCAAGTTTGTTGTGCAAATTAGGAACAGGAAGGTCTGCCATATAATAGGTACTCAAATAGTGATGATTATTGTTGTTTACTAGTGAGGGTCTTGAAGTTGGGCAGTGAGGACAAATTGTAAAGGCATGTCTTTATTAAGACTGGAGCTTGTTTGTAGGCAAAGGGGAGAAGTCAAACTAGAAAACAGTGAAACAGAATGAGCACACTAAGGAGATAGGAAAGGAGCGAACCTAAATGACGTGATACAGAATTATCCTTAGGAAAATGTAGATGGTACCTCTCCTTCCAAAAAGAGGAGACCGGGCGAAAATCATTTAATGGGAGTTGGAAATTAGGTAAATGGCTGAGGTTAGAAAGGGCCATAGTTGGTCGATGGTAAGTTATTTCAATTTTATTAAAGTGTTTTATCGCTTAGCCTGCACCTAGCACATACTAAAAATACTGTGTTTTAGATTTCCTACCTCATTTTGTCCCTAAACATAAAATTTATTTCCCTGAAGCCTGGTTTTATCTTTGCTGCCCTTAAAGGGGTTGCTGGAATGAATTCCACATTGAGGAAATGCTGCTCGGTTTCTCCTTCCTATGTGGCTTATCCTATTTCTACCTGCCCTTCCAATATCAAGACCCTCCGTCCTTTGTTATAGATTCCTTACCTGCTTGCTGAGATAGCAGACGTCATGCATGACTTTTGTCTAGTGTTCATAGTATTTATAGTTGTAATAAATGTTCAATTTGCTTTTTAAACTTTTCTTGAATCCTGTTTTAGCACAATCACCTTTTTTCAACTTTTGAGTACTGGTGGTCCCCAACTTAACTTCTGTTTTTTTTAAAAATCTAATTATTTTATTAGGGACTCATACAACTCTTATCACAATCCATACATATATCAATTGTGTAAAGCGCATTTGTACATTCATTGTCCTCATCATTCTCAAAACATTTCCTCTCCACTTAAGCCCCCACAAGTTCTGTTTTAATGACAGTTTTAAGTTCGTTCTGTTTTAAGATTTGAATACTTTAAAAAAATTTTATTACTAATGCTTCTTATAAGCAGCCTCTTTATTGTGGGGAACAGAAGGAATTCTCTTAAGTTGTCTCCCCAAAATATGTACCAGACTTAGCTGCTTAAGCGTAACCGTACAATAGGCAGCGAAAGTAGGTCAGAGGTTATTCTCCTTAACATTGGCCATCTGTAGTGGCTAGACTATTAGTCTGACTCACCCTGAATAAGACCTACTCCCTTCTGATAAGGATAATGGTGGTCTATTCACTTGCAAGAGAGGGCAAACCCGCCCAAGGGTGACCAAGGTTAGTTAGCCATTATCAGCTGTCTAGATCAAGCAGACACCACTGTCTATTCCACAACCAATGTGGACACACCCTTAGGTGATTCCTCTCCTATTGATTGTATTGCCTATGTTAATATCCCTCCTGGTGACTCAAGTTATTGTCCACCATCAGGGAACTTGCATGCCTCCCAGAATAGTAATTGTCTGTTTTATTATGTGAGACATTAGAGTGATCAAACTTGTTCTAGAATGAATTGTATAGCCCTTTCTGTGATGTATGACTATGATGCGTGGTTAGCAATAAATAACGAGGCTCCCTGGTACTCGAGGGGGTGGCTGGAGAAGGGGGTTAAGGAGGACGAAGCAGCGGCTTCTTCTCTGACGGCTAAGCCCCCTCCATGAGAACCATCAAGCCGGGTTGAGGTGAGATATGCTACCATGAATTGCGTCTGACTCCATTACTTGACTCCATCCTTTAACTCTCATGCTCTCTATGACTTTCCTATAATCTCTACTTATTATCGCTGTACAATTGCGCCTACCAAACCTGTGATGTTTTGTGGGGTTCCCTCTTACCCTTAACCCCACACTTTATAAATCTGATCTTTGTTTTTAGGTCTTGGAAACAAACTTACAGATATACTTTTTAAATACATATTACGTAAATACATTTTTTAAATGCTCGTCAAAAAATGGACTGACATTTTGTCACTTGCAATAAGAACCCCCTTTGTGGCATTTGCTGAAGGAACCGGGTCATCCTGGGAATGGGGACGGTGTTTTCAGACAGAGCAGCGAGCCTTGTCTGCACGGTCCTTCCCTGCAGCATTGTACGCAGGGCAAGGCCCTTTTCTGAAAGTGCAGTTCATAACTACTGGTATTTATAGCCATTATTTTTAATTACTACAATTACATTATGGCATGGTTTGCCATAGTTCGTTATTTCCCAAGCACTAGATGTTTAGATAACCAGTTTTTATTTTAATACGTATTATCTTTTTTCAGAGGCTTATTTTTTTAGAACACTGTCCAATAGAACTTTTCTGTGGTGATGAAATGTTCTCTGCGTAATAAGATCACGCATGGCTATGCATGTGTGGCTACTTAAACACTTAAAGTATGTTTAATACGACAGAGGAACTAAAATCTAATTCATTAAAATAGCCACGGGTTGTTGACTATCGGACAGGAAACGACCCTTAAGATTATAATCAAAAGTAAAGTTCTTGTTTTGCTAAAGAGCATCATGGGGGGGACGTGTGTGTGTGTGTGTGTGTGGTTTTAATGTCGTGGGGGACGGGGTGTGTGTGTGTGGTTTTAATGTCATGTGGGGGACGGTGTGTGTGTGTGTGTAGTTTTAATGTCTTTAATTTCCCAACAAAATACTTTAAAAATTTGTGCTTGCAAGGAAAAATTTTTTTATTTTTTTATTTATTTTTTCTTTTTTTTTAAACCAAACTCACTGTCATCGAGTCAATGCTGACTCATTGAGACCCCCTGTGGGTTTCCAAGAGCCATTGGTGGTTTCAAACTGCTGACCGTGTGGATCACAGCCCAATACATAACCACTAGGCCACCGGTATTCCTGCAAGGAAAATTAAAACAGCCATAGGCTGTGGCCAAAGCCAGATAGCAAAACCAACCGGTTGCCTTGGCGTGGATTTCCCTCATGGGAATCCTATTACACAGATGCCCCCCAAGGTTTCCAAGACAGCGGGGTGTCCTCTTCTTCCGCTGAGCGGGCTGGTGGGTCACACCTCTCAGCAGCCCAGTGCATTAACCACTGCGCCACCAGGGCTTCGCGAGGCCCGGGAAGGACCCCTAAACCTAATCCTTAACGGGGTGAAAAGGAAGGGTAGGGGTTTGGCGAGCGGGCTGGAGACTACCCGGCCACCGCCCTCTCTTCCTAAACATTGCATAGGATGTAATCACATAGCGAGAGCTGTACTTGTATTTGCATATCTGGCTACCGGGATGGGCCGCTTCCGGTGCCGGCGGACTCCGCCCCCCACGCCCGCCCGCGCCGCTCCGGAATGCGGAAGGGCGCGGGGCTCGGCCACCGGAGATCCCGGGGGGGGCGGGGGCCGCGGGGCGCGGCATCTGTGGCGCCGCAGGCCGAGCCAGGCTGGGAGGCCGAAGAAAGTCCGACCAAGTTGCGTGCGCTCTTAGTTCCTCCGCTCCAAGCCCCCCCAGTTCTTGGCGGACCTTCCAGGCCGTGCCGCATCCGCGCGGGAAAGCCACCGACACCCCCATTCCCGAGTTGGACCCGCGCACCTTCCGGTCCGCCTCCCGAGGCAGGAAGTGCCCGGCGCCCGCTGTCGCGCCCGCACCCAACCCGCCACCGTCGCTGCTCGCTCCGCTCCGGGCGTCCCCATCTCGTGTCTGGCACTGGTGAGTGACGCCCGGCCCCGCGCTCGACCGCATCCCTGCCCCGCATCCCAGCCTCGCGCCGCCTCACCTACTGGAGCGGACAGGGAGCAGCCACCCCCTGCACCTGCCGGCTCCGGCCTGTGGCCGGTCGGCCCCGCCGGCGGCAGGGGAGGGGACCGCGGGGCAGGAAGTGAAGGGGGAGGGCCTGCGGGAAGGTCCTGGCAGTGACTCCGAGCTTGGGGTCGTGGGGTCGGGGAGTTCCTGGGCGATCACAGCCGGGCTGGGGGGTCGCCCCGCTGACTTGGGTGGCCGGCCCCATCCGCGCGCCGCTGGTCCGGCGTCACCTGTAGGGCTCTGCACACCTGGCGGTGGCACCGACTGCTCCGTGGCTCCCGGTCCATTAGGCTCTTGCTCTGCAGCCCACACCACGAGAGATGCTTTGGGAAGTGAAAGCCTATCTTCTAGTTCCTAGAATCTGGTACATAGTGAAGTGTCAATGGCAACCATTAGATACGGGAGTCCGTGACTCGTAGAGGCCGAAATGCAATGATTTCCTACAAAAGTTACAGCCCCCACCCACTGTATCTTGCATCCTGTAAGGACTTAATGTATTAGTGTTGAATCTAGAAAAAAGCAAATAGCTGAAATCAGGAAATACTTCCTGAAAGCATCTAAAATCACATAAAAATCCTCAGATTCAGATGAGAAAGCTTAGAGGATCTTTCCAGCAGGATTTCAGTGGGGCCGTAACACGAGCAAAAACTCACAAGTGGGTTGCGGGAAAGGGTGACCACAAAGGAGATCACCCGCACAGAGCAGAACTTGAAGACGTAATAGTTGGAAATAAGCGTAGCTATGTAAGTGGGATTTTTTTTAACCCATGTTTTGAAAACCTGGCAAGAAATAAAAGATTATGTAAGATGCATTAGAGGCACTTTCGAATTCTTCACGAAAGGAGTTATGAAGAAAGGAGTATTTACAGGTTTAGTTTGGCAGCCTTTCAATACGGTAAATTTAGAAGGATCTTTTGGCAAGAAAAAAATCCGCATTTTAGAGAATTCAAAAGCACCTTTTCAATTATCTTGTGAAACCTGTGGTTTAATAATTGAGGAAACCACACCCCAGAGAGGTGAGGTAATTTGCCTAAGGTCACTTGAGAGATTCCTTTGTGCCACCCTGTTTGTTCCCTGTTCCTTGGGTGGACTGCCCAGGACTTGAGATTAATGGCATACCTTTTTGTTCCTGCAGGCTCTTGTCTGATGCCTGGTGAAACCATCCACTCCCCAGCCCCACTTAGAAAACAAACTTTTTATTGTGATTTGAGTGAAAGTTTACACAGCAAAATGATTTTCCATCCCCAACCCTCACACAATTTTATGACAGTATTTATGACAGTGATTGCAGCCCCCACCTTGGACCTACATTCCTTTCCCCTCCTCCTCCCTCTGCTGACGTTTTCCTGGGCCCTCCTCTCATTCCACCTTCTTTCCAATCCCTTCTAGCCTTCTGAGCATTGTCCCTGGGCACACCTGCCCTTGCGCTCCCATGTGGTGGATTGTTCCACGGTGTACGGACTTCCCTGTTGTAACTGTTCATGGTAAAGACCTGTCTAAGACTGGAGATTGAGCCACTGGTGGGAGTCCAGTTCCAGGCCTGAAGGCTAACCAAGGGCCATAGTCTCAGGAGTTTACCAGTGTTACACACAAGCCAGCGTGATCGTTAATTTTTATGATTTTGTGTTTTCCACATTTGCCCTCCCACTCCAGGACCTTCTAATGGGATCCCTTTCAGAGCAGTTGGTAGTGTTTGCCAGGCACCAGCTCATTCTGGTCTCAGGGCCTGAGGTCAAAGTTCAGTGTCCATTATTAGTCTTGTGACTAATTGACTTATTGCATTTTCTTCATTCTAATTTGCTTAGAATGGGGAGACACCTAATGCGATAATTTCAATAATCGCTGACCCTCATATTCATCTATGCTTTATTGAAACTGAGTTTGAACAGAAGGAAGTTGTGAAGGCCGGATCCCCAGGTAGGGTTTGATAGGTTGGAAAGATAAGAGCTGAAAGGGGCTAGTTGTCCCTTCATCCCAAGATTCAAAGACACCAGATATCATCAGGCTCCAGGGCTTGTATAACTGGCCCCCTGCACTCCACCTTGGCTACTAACTGAAAGATTAGCAGTTCAAATCCACCCAGAGGTACCTCAGAAGAAAACTGATGATCTACCGCTGAAAGATCACTCCAAAACTCAAACTCATTGCCATTGAGTCAATGCTGACTTACAGCGACCCGATAGGACAGGAAGAACTGCCCCTGTGAGTGTCTGAGACTAATCTTTCTCTCCAGCTGATGAAGAAAGATCAGTCATTGAAAAGCCCGTGGCTTGCAGTTCCATTTTGAAACACTTGGGGGTGGGAGGATTATACAAACTCTGGATCCTGGTATTGATTCTGGCTCTTGTCCTTGGATGAAAAGACCCTAGATTAAAAATTGTTCTCTCGAGACCCATTTATTAAGCCTCAGGTGAGACACAGTTATCTGAGTGAGGAAAAACTTCAGCATGTTCTCAGTACAGAGGCTAGTGGAATCCTCTGAATTGCAAATATGTTTAAGACTTCAAAAAAGTTCCTGGAAAAGTTCAATTATCTTTTGATTCAATTTTCCATAACTTTTTGAAGCTCCCTCATGTGATAGAGGACAAAGAAGATCACCACAAGGTCATGATTGATGTCAGAAGACTACAGGTGACAACCATTAGTAGGAATCTGTGCGCAATTGCAGGTTTTAAAAGGCTACAGGATTGGTTCTGAGGTTTTAATTTCTGTAGACTTTCTTTGATTACTGTTAAAGGAGTATCTTCTGCCACTCAGACATTCCGCTTCTGTGATTCTGAATTAGAGTAGGTGCAGGGCAAGCCTGTTTCAAGGTGTAAAGCCAATCTCCTCTGAAAACCTGGTTTCTGCAAGATACAGAATTTTAAGCATCGCAAGGGAGCTGACTGATTATAAGCATTAGACAGGTATTTCATATAGCACTGCTTTGCAAACTAATTGAACCAATTATTGATTTATCCTAAACTTAATTCCCTCTCTTGATTTTGGGAGTCTGTTTCTCCAAGCAGATGGGAGTCTTCAAAGGAGCACCACGCCCAGAGCAAAACAACTGTGCTAGTTCATCTCAGTTTGACTCCGAAGTGGCTTTTGTGCACCTGTGTTTTTAGGCCCAGTGTCTAAAAGACACCTGAGGGCCTTGACTTGTGTGGGTTACTCGTCTTTCACGGGAGCCAGAAGTCTAGGCAGTAAACTAGGAGGTAGAAAACAACATTAAGCCAATTGGTTGAAATAACTTGGGAAACCTGATTCTCTTTGTACTAAGGAGTCCCTTAGCTTGTTTTTACACAAGGAGCGTTAGGAACTGCGTTCGTGTCCCTCAGTACAACAATGCTGTAAAACCACCTCAGAATGCATCGTACTAAGAACACAGCAGGATCCATCAAGTAAGACAGACTTGTTGAGGAGACTCAGCAAGAAATCTAATGCTAATGTATTTGTAAAGCTTGAGCTTCAGACACGTCTCTAGTTATGCTATTTAAAGTTTGCTTAACTTAACTGATAAGAAATTCTAATTCAAGAGTTAAAATATCTACACCATTAGTGACTTTAAGAGAAATTACTCATATTCAAGAAGAGACCCTTAAAGCACCGCTAATATTCTCACAGCAAGCCTGACTGGGAGGAGCCTGCAGGATTTGGGCAGGGCACTGCTTCAGAGCCCAATGCCTGAGAGTTGCAGAGGGGTGTGGTGAGCTGCAGGCCCATCCTCTTCACTGGCTTAGCCGGACTCCGGACTCAATGGTCATTCACAGCTTGTGACTGCCCTCTGAGCTTGTACTTTATTTTTGTGGCTTAATAGAACCCAAGATTGCAAAACCTTGAAAACTCCTAGCACAAGTTTATTCACCACCTTGCCGGGCCACAAACGGAAGAGAAGCACACATGTTTGCAAGAAACAGGTTGGTGGGCAGGGGAACTGACCTCATCCTGCATTCACGTGCCATTTCTCTTGAAATCCCTCTTAATTCTCTACATACAACCCACAACACTCACAGTGATGGTGCTAAGACACAGTCTTCAGGCACCCGCCAGCACTGCACCCTAAAATTTAATTTTAGTGCCCTATAAGTTCAACTGCTAGCTTTTTCCAGATCCATTAAGACAGCGGTTCTTAACCTGTGGGTTGAGACCCCTTTGGAGGGTCGAACGACTCTTTCCCAGGGGTCGCCCGATTCATAACAGTAGCAAAATTACAGTTATGAAATAGCAATGAAAATAATTTTATGGTTGGGGTCACCACAATATGAGGAACTGTATTAAAGGATTGCAGTTGAGAATACTGCTTTTAAGAGATTCAAGGGCAGTCTTACCTGCATCTGTAGATAACGATGCCAACCAACAAACAGGAGGAGTCTAAAGTTCTCCAAGGGAAGAGCATGCCGCAAGACTTAATAAAAGGCCTTGGAAAGCCACCCGGAAACACGAGCCTCAAAATCCAAGAGCGCTTACTTCTCAGGGGTTCATGAAAAGAGGGCCACATGTTCCAGTCCCAGGCTTTCCAGGGTCCCTCCAGGAAGGATAGCTTTGGATTTCATCCTCATTGCCATTTGTGTTAGGAGAATGAAAACTCAAAAATGCTCTGTAGAGACCCCGTATCACCCCTTAACTAGGGCAGAGATCAGCCTCCAGATGAGGGACTCCTCGGCCTCCGGTTTGGGTGCGTGCTCCTCCCTTCTCTGGATGTTTGTCTGTCTGTTCTTGTCCCCCTTGTGTAAGGCTTCATCCTCTAGTATACGGCACCCCCCTGCCATTTTCTAGCTGAGTGTCTGCAGTCAACTTGTTTGTTTTATTTGCCCCAATGTTCTCCTCCCAGAAAGGGGGAGAACAATAGTACCAGTAGCATACATTTTTCTGAGATTGAAATTGTAAATTAAAATAAAATACTGAGACCAGCACCTGGTACACATG